CTTCCTCCAACAAGTTTCTAAATATCTGCAATTCCTCTAACATGCATGCAACACCAAAATCTCCTAAAATAACACAGGCTGCAGGTATGGCAGTCGTTACAAGAGGTTCTGTTACCTGTTGCTAGTTTCAGCAAGATGATCTTGGCGTAAGCTTTTATTTGTGCATTAGTTTAAATAATTGATGCAAGATTATACAGAAATATGTACTTGAGAACTCAGTAATTGTACAGCAAACAAATCAAATAGTACCTAAGTAAATGGGAAATTCCAAAGATGACAACACTTACAAAAAAACACCCTCCAGAAGATACTTTCTTCAAAAAAATCACACTCAATCTCATTTCCTTTGTGAATAAGGAAGTGAACCATGAACAAAGTATTACTTCATTCTTCTTTAAATCACATTTCTAAAAGCACTTTCCATATTTCACGAAGTCTACATCTAATAAGTTGTAAAATAGTTTATATTTAAAAATAAAAGCAAGTTTCCAGCAAATGAAAGATGCAGTTGAAGGACTAAATGCTCTCTGTTCAACTCTGCATGACAAATAACTGATACTACTTTGCAGTCTAACAAATATCTTTTAACATACTGTACTACATTTAAGAAGTATTCTTGTTTTAATGCTAACGAGTTTATCATTTCAATTAATGTTTTATGTCTCAATGATATATTGAACATGTAATACAATGCTTTTCCCATTTCACTAAATTGGTAGAGTTGTCCCACAAATTTATAAAAACATACTCACCACAGCAAATAGGAACACTGTTTTCCTAATGGCCAGAATTACCCATTTCATTTCCAGGATCCTGTTACTCTATTTAATTTCAGAAATTGAGAATTCCTTTGAGTAAATGTGAAGTCCAAGTACCAAAAGCTAGACTGGAATCAATAACTTAGATACTACCAAATGCTGTATCTTAACTGATGTTGTCACAAGTCATTTTGTGGCATATAAGTCTTTTAATAGAAAAGTTAAAATAAATCTTTATTTTATTTTCACTGTAATATCCGCTATTTTATTTCGAAAACTTTGCTTCTTTCCTCTAACTCACAAACACTTAAAATCTGCACAAGTTCATATTTTACTGAAATTCCACAGAATTGAACAAACCGCTGACACTACAATAACTGGCAGTTCACAATACCTAGCGAGAAGATCACATTAAGGGAAACTATGTCTGTGCAGTAGGTTACTACAACATCAATGCATTATACTGCCTCAGAATTGCAGGACTTCAGTTGCAAAACATTGGCCCACATGTGCATGGATCCAGAAGTCAGCCTAAAATTTTGCGATTGATTGTAACTAATTCATACTTCCACATTATCAGAAGGCAAACCACTCATTACTTATGATGAATTAAAGACTTCTGTATCAGACACAGTTTTAATTTAATTAGAAATTAAAAAAGGAGACTACAGATCACACACACATGTTGACCACTCTTAAAGATGCAGCATTATCACACACACCTTTGATATACTAACGGACTTAGCAATGATAAAATATTAAAATGGCATTGAGAAGAGAGAGACAGACAGAGATACAGTTAGTTCCAAGGCTAGATATGAGAGGGAGAAAGTATAGATTAAGAAAAAAAAAAAACCACACCACAAAAGCACAAAAAATACAAGCAAAATGTCTCACAGTTATCTTGCAAATATCTAAAACTATATGGCAATGGAAAATGGGCTCATACTCATTGCAAAAACATTTTCAGAGGAGGTGGAGAAGAAAATACGTGTACATCATATGCAGAAATAGTCTGAAAAGCCCTCTTTGGTATACATGGATTAAATATTAAATAAACCAGATGAAGAAAAGAAATCCAGATTTACAGCCACACAGTACTGAAACAGAAAGCGAAACCACAAGAAAGAGTCTATTATACTCACACATTTACAACACGTTACTTATAATGGCAGCTGTGGAAATCAATTACTGCTGTAAATGTTTGACATTTTCGATCACTACTCACCATGCTAATGTTTCTATGCAATTCATTAACATTCTAGCTACAGTTTCATGCTTGCACGTTCCAAGTATAGAAATAAGATACTCAGCAATACCATACAGCCCAGCTGCCTTACTATTTCTTTTTCAAAACAATATCGGTGGCCTTGATAATATTGCCATCTAATTGCTAGCAATGCTTCTCCTATGATAGATGACAAGGAAGGCTGAGCAGGCACTCAGTCTACAGAAGATGTGAATGTGTTGAAACCTTCTCCTGTAGGACATTCATGCTTCTTAATTGAGCTGCTATGGAAGATTCCTCATGTGGGCATAGGGAAATAGTCTCCTACCTGTGAAGGTTGGTTGTACACCGGTCTGGTCTCTGGAAATGAAGTTTTATCCTTTGACTCTCTAGTTTGATCATCAATTGTGTCACCTAGCAAAGTAAAAAAAACACCTATTAAATAACTGAAATCCTGCATATTTTATATGGAATAAGAAAAACTCTTGAATCTTCCTAAAATCAAATTATACAATTCCCCGGGAAAGACAGAATTCTGTTGCCACATTATATTTTACAATTTTGAACACTAGGAAAGAGAAAAACATTGAGAAGTGGTCTGCAAGACCCAGAAATAAATCTGTACCAATTAGCTAAAGGGAAAAATTCAGAGGGGAAAAAAAAGAGAAAGAAAAAATCCAGGGTCTCTATTTTTGCACACTTTAGGATCATTGAGTTCTAATGATGACAAACTGTCAAACAGAGGAGACATAGCAGCACGCGTTATCTGGTGTGAGGGCAATACCAAGTGCACACATTCATCACGTCCCAATCCCACATCAGGCTAGGAGGACGCGTGCACCATTACTCTACTCTGATTTGTAACCTTGTTCCCATACAGAGAATATCTGTGCATGAGTGCTGAAAGAGAGATGCAGCACACTGACAGAAATTCCCTGGGTTTGACCGTACTGGGACAATAACAACTTGGCAGGCTGGGCACCAACGTCCTCCCATTGCATAGACGTGGCTACCTCTGCCCAGGATTTTACGGAGACGACAGTAAAATTCATTTTATCCCAAACGCTGCAGCTGATACCAATCTAAGATGGGAAGATCACACCAATATCACTAGAGATAAGAGTATTTAAATTTATTTTAAAGACAGAAGGTACATTATTAATTTTATTAAAAACGTAGAGGTAGTAAAATAAAAAATGCAGCATTTGTTTCTCAGCTACTGTAAAACAAATATCCACCTAGCCCATTTTGTCTAATCTTCTTTGTTGGTAGGAGGGTGTACAATAAGTTGTAAAAATTTTGTGGATTATCTCCTTCTGCTGTTAGTGCTACTCAGCAAATAGTTTGTAAGAGGAGACAATTTAGAAAGATGAAAGATTTAGTCACATAATTCTGCTTTTATTTTTATTTGAACTGATACTGCTTTCTGTAACACAGTATTTTGAACGTCCGTATTCTTAAAGAGTCCTGCAACGACAATTCTAAATGAAATGGTTGAAGTTACTATAGTTTAACTCCTTTGCTAAGCCTGTGCTTTTGGCTTTCCTGTTCCATTTTCTCCAGAGGTTTAGTTAGAGCCTGGCAGAAGCCATCAGGAACAGCAGCCAGCTTCTGCCCATGCCCAGTTAGCCTGGAAGCCAATGACACCCAGGTCCATGCATGCCATGTGGTCATCGGCCCCCAAGGACTGACTGGTCAGGCCACTCAGGTACAATGCAATGTTCGGTAAAATATCTTATGAAAACAAGCAATAACATTTAGTCATTGGGCATGCTTTTTAATATCCAAGTATTATTCCTGACTGTATTTTGAGAATCATCAATAAATTATCTTTGTTATAGGCCATTAATGCCTATTAATTTCATTAATATCTACACTTTTCAAGATCTTTTCTGGAGTTGAAAAATGTTTCTCAATAAACTAGTAATTCTCTACATACAATACTCCAAAGCACCTGTATTCACATCATCTCTTAAAAAAAAAAGGGGAGGGGGAAACCAAAGGAGATGAGGAGTCAGTTAATCTTATATTCCACTCCACAATACTGTGAAAAACAACATCTGTGAGCATCTATGAGACAATGACATAAGGAACAGTCATTAAAATAAATTATGTCAAATCATTAGTTTACATTTGTAAAGAGGTAGAGAGGCCTGCAAAGAAAAATTATTAGAGGTCTTGTAAACACACTCCACAATGAAAGATTGCAAAAACACGAGGAGGTGTGAAAATGGTTAACAGATATATAAAGAGGATAGTAAGACATATTTTTGGCACATTTGCTGTGGATGAACGTGCAAACAAGTTTAAATTGTACCAAATTTAGGCTAGATCAGTTTCTCCAGGAGTAAGGCTACTTAAGCACTTGAAACAACCACCTAAGGAAATAGTTTCTCTAAACAGCGGTCCATTTCCAAAAGATTTCAGAGGTAGGTTGAAGAAACATCTGTCATGAATGGTTTCAATCCTGCCAAGACAAAGAAGATGAATGACCTTTTGTGATCACTCCTAGTCCTACATTCCATGTAGGATGCAGGAAGAAAGACTCCACAGGATACCCCTCCCTAAAATCAGGATTTGTCAAGGGAACTTATGCTGGCTGCACGGAGACTTGGGAAGATACAAGTAGACTGCAACGAGCCGGACAAAGGCTCATCAAGTGTGCAAGGGAAAAGCTGTGTAGCCAGTCAGTAGCAAAAGGACAGCTAGTTGAAGTCAGTGAGATGACTCATACTGGGTAAAGTTGGGTGTATGCATAAACATACTGAAAGAGTTACACTGAAGATTTAAGAAACACAGGAATCAACTTTTTACTCCTTGTCTTTACATATTGGTCCTGAGAAAGCACTTGAAAGTTTTTTATATGCAAAAAAACCCCAAAAATCAAATTGATGTGTGTTAATGCTATCCGGAGTATACTTTTTTCCTGCAGTTAGTTTTCCTCAAGATGAAAAGAAATCTTTGTTTGAAATTGGGACCAAAAGGTCAAAAATGTAAAAATGTTCACAGGAAGGGAAGAATAAGAACAGCTCATTTGGACAGAAATGTAATTTTTTGAATTAGAACTTTGACATCCAACTCCCAGAGGTCATAAGCTCTTGAGGAGGCCAAAATGTAGGAATATCTATAGTGTTTCACAACTAAAATTGTCTTTGTAAACTGATCTTTAATGCAGTGCTCTTCTTTCCTAAAAAAACAAACAAACAAACAAACAAACAAAAAAACCCCAGCAAATAGGAAAACCTCAACATCCTCCCAGATTTTCAGGTGTGTGGTCTTGCAAAGATAAGCCATGAGTCTTTGTATAGACTGTTTTTATTTGAGGTAATGGAGTTAAAACAGTTACAGGCAGCTGCACACTATGCTGCCTAAGATGTCCGCCAGGTAGAACAGTTTTCTAGACAAATCAGTATTTTCAGTGTACCTCTCTGACTGGTTCCTATCTCAAATGTACAAACAGATTAGCCATCCTTATTTCTAGTAGCCCAAATAATGAATGAACTTTCACATACCTCCCCGGCTCCATCAGTTCCCAACCTTAATCAAGATTGCCATAGCTGACCCATCTTGTTCAGCCACCCTTAATTTTTTTTAGTTCAGCTTGCCTTGGTTTCCAATTTACCTCAATTTGAATCTCTTCTATGATTCTAGATTCTCCTCTTATGTTCCTTCCTATTCTATGATAGGCTGAGAGAGTTGGGGCTGTTCAGCCTGGAGAAAAGAAGGCTCCAGGGTGATCTTATAGCAGCCTTCCAGTAATTAAAGTGGGACTACAGGAAAGCTGGAGAGGGACTTTTTACAAGGGCATGTAGTGATTGGACAAGGGGCAATGGATTTAAATTGAAAGAGGGCAGATTTCGATTAGATATAAGGAAGAAATTTTTCACTCAGAGGGTGGTGAGGCACTGGAACAGGCTGCCCAGAGAAGTTGTAGAAGCCCCATCACTGGAAGTGTTCAAGGCCAGGTTGGATGAGGCTTTGGGCAACCTGGTGTAGTGGAGGGGGGGTTGAAACTAGATGATCTTTGAGATCCCTTCCAGCTCTAACCATTCTATGATTCTATGATTCTTCCCTTAACTGCAAGTCATAGTTTCTCTCCCCTCTTCAGGCTCAGCCTCTCAAATGCTTCCCTCTGATCTGGCTTTTTCTCTTCTCCACTGCAACCCTGCAATTTCCTCTTCCCATCTACCTAGATGTTAAGAAGGTGGATGAAGGTAAATACTGAATAGACAGATATCCCATGAGAGCACAGACCTTTGGAAGTAGGAACTTATTGAGCTCTTTTGAGCACTTTATACATTCTGGTTGATAATTTTTGACTGGGGAGAAAAAAAAACACCAACTAACCCCCACCTCCAAACACCCCGGAAAAAATCCTGAACCCAAACAATTCCCCTTACACAATCCTAATGTAAATAGGTATGTAATTACAATTTTGCCAAACTAAGCAACTGAAATCTAGCTCTGAAAAAAATCACAAACACATGACCTTAGTAGGGAGGGCTACCAATTCCCTACCACCACTCCCTCAAAAAGTCTTTCATCAGAACTGAACTGCAAATATGTTCACAGAAAAGGCCAGAGGGACCACTGTAATCATCTAGCCTAACCTCCTGTATAAATATAGGCCGTAAGATTTCTTGAATTAATTTGTTTGAACTAGAGCAAATTTAAATCTGTATTTTAATTAAGAGATCACAACAAAACTATTAATTTTACAAAACAATTAGATTCTGGTTCATGTATCCCTTGGTTTAAAAGCATTATGCAAAGTTTTAGTCATAAAACTGTAAGAAAAAAATAAGTCACATATCTCAAAATGTCATATACTATTTAGAGACTATAAGAATTAGAAATGAAGGGCATCCCATGCAGTGTAGTATCACTCAAACATCAGCAGCATAATCTGTAATATGCAAGACATCACTGGGAGAAATTATCAGGAAAAAAATAATCATGCTTATTGCTGTAAAATATTCCCCTACTTATCAATGGAAAAACATTTTCAAGTTTGAAAAGAGAGCAGTAGATATATTTATTCTACTGTACAGATGAGCCTGTATTTCAAACCCTCAGCCTTGGAAGCCTGTTTTTAAGTTACATTAAGCCTCTTGCAGGCCCAAACGAACGGCATTGCACTCAAAGGTCAGACATATGTTTCTCCTTTCACTAAGCTAGTGCTGGATTTACACTAATATTCTCTGAGTTGTACTGGTATCTTCTTGTTCCAAGAACTGCAGCCAGGTGTTGCACAGGTAAGAAATATCCAGTCCAGTCTTCAGTATGTACTATGTACGGCCCCCCTCAGACCTCAGAATTTTTTCTTTTTTAGAAATCTGCATTCAGCTGCCTATCTGGACCTCAGCGAACTCTCGTATAGTAAGGTTCAACCACAAGTCTGGCTTCTACTCAAC